TTATTCAGAGCCTTTTTATATATGTTGGCCATTTGTGTATTTTCTCTGGAAAAATGGGTATTTATGTTATTTGCTCATTTTAAAATCAGGTTATTGTTTTTTCCTTTTTGATATGGAGTTGTGTGTTTCATATATCTATATCTATCTATCTATCTATCTATCTATCTATCTATCTATCTATCTATCTAGTTATTATGCCCTTATCAGATATATGATAAATGCTCTCATTTTGCAGGTTGCCTTTTCTTTGTTGACTGTTGTTGGCATTGCATAAACCTTAAAAATATTTTTATTGAGCTTCGTACATATCATAAACAGTTCTTAATCAAATTTAGAAACCCTCTCCAATCCTTGTCCTCCCACACTGGACCTTATGGTTTCCACCATATATGTTAAGTCCTATCCTGTCAAGCATTTGTACCCAGATGTCCTTCAGTGCAAGTTCATCCCCTGGAGTTTATTCAGCCTATCTAGAGATCATAAGGATGGTCTATTCTCCCTCACCCAGTAGTAATCAGTCTCCAACAGTTCCCTGGCTAGGACTAACCTGCTGCCCATTTCCCTGCTCCACTCTGGGCCCTTGTCTAATTGAGTTGGCATGGGTCTTGTGTTCAAAGCCACCATTGCTGCAAGTTCATATATGCAAGCTTCCAGTGGCCTGAAAGCCTCTGTTTCCCTATTGTTCATGGACCAACCTTGCCTCATACAGTCTTTCTAGCCCTTCTTCCACAGTGTTCCCTGAGCTGTGGGTGAGTGAGGTTTAATATAAGAGTCCTATCCAGGAACACACACTCTGAATTGCAGAAACTTTTAAGAGGGTAGTTTCATTTATTCATTTTTGCTTTCGTTGTGTGAGCTTTGAATGCCACGTCCACAAAAATCATTACCCCATTCCTGTGTTAGGAGTTTTCCTCCTATACGTTCTTACAGGATTTTACAGTTTCAGATATTATGTGTAAGTCTTTACTTCTAAGTTAGCTTTTGAGTATCATGTAAAATAAAGGTCCAATTTAAACATTTTATACATGTTCTCATCGTGGAATCTTGCCAGATACTATTTATAGCAGAAATACCTCTATCTGAAGATAGACCTAGTAGTTAGGATATTGATGTGCAGATGGGGAGACATCATCGTTACTGTCTTTACTTACTGTTTTGACTTGTAGAGAGGAAAAGGAAATCTATTATTATACAGTGTATCATCATGCAGGCTGAGCCACTTAAACTGTCCTGTTCTGAATGCTTACTCTGAAGTTTTGCTAACAATACATTTGTCTTCTTGTGAAATTATTTTCTAAATAAAAAATAAATATTTTATACTTTTCTCATATGGATACTTCTTACTGTTTGTATATATTAAAACATTAAGTAAGGTAAAATACCAGTGGTTAAGTATGTACTGGTTTATTTTCTAAGAAAATAGAATACATAGTATGCAGAATCTGTGACTTAAAACTTAATATAATCATTAAAAAAGAGGTCAGGGGGCTGGTCAGATGGTTCAGCAGTTAAAAGCACTGGCTGCTCTTGCAGAAGACCTGGGTTAGGTTCCCAACACCCACATGGTGGTTAACAACTGTCCTTAACTCCAGTTCTAGGGGTTCTTCTGACCTCTATGGGAACTGCATGACATGGGTGCACTTACATACATGCATGCAATACACTCAAACATATAAAAATAAAAAGAAAAAAAGGTCATGAACTTGAGAGGGAGTGCACATGGGAGGAATTGGAGGGGGTAAGGGGGATACAAATGATGTAAATCTAGTACTCATGTATGAAAATTTAAGTTAAAAACCTTAATATTATTAAAAAAATAGAATCTGTTCATGATATGATTTTGAATATTATTTCAT